ATGCATCCCCGATAGTTTTTTCGTTTAACTTCCTGAAGTCGATGACCATGCGCCATCTTTTGTTGCCCATTGAGTCTGGTTTTTTCGGCACGATCCAGATAGGCGAGTTATATGGGGAGTTAGAGGGTTTAATGATTTCCTTGGAGAGGAGTTGGTTAATTTGTCGATTTATTTCTTCGCGATGTATTGGCGGGAATCGATATTGTTTGGTGTGTATTGGAAAGTTGTCTGTGGTTAGGATTTCATGTGCCAGAACGTGAGTTTTGTTAAGATGTTCATCAGGAACGTAAAATCTGTCCGCATTATTTTCTATTAAGGTGACAATGTTCTCCCTTTCGACGGAGGTTAAATGATCGAGCCGTAGCAATTGAAGGATAGCAGACACTCTGTCTGGATGTGAAACGTGAGAATCGAATTTGCGAGGAGCAGGGTCCTCGAGTCGGTCGAGTTCGTAATCGTCTTGACCTTTAGTAATAGTAATTTCTTTATACTGAATGGTAGCGATTCCTCGGTTTTTCACAAAGGAACCGATGCTGTATTTACAAGTAGTTTGAATCGCTTCGTCTAAGGGACCAGCTGGATCGTTCAGGGATCCTAGTGTATGAGGGTAGTGATTGTAGATGGGAGGTGGTTGGTGTGATTTGTGGATTTCCGTACGGGCACGCATGCTTTCTGCACGGTGTAAAGATCCCGCATGGTTGTGGACTTCCATACGGGCACGCATGCTTTCTGCACGGTGTGAAGATCCCGCATGGTTGTCGAGAGATTCGTTAATAACATTAATTTGAGGAGGGGAAACAAGAGGAAGCGATTCATTTCTATTAGTTTCGTTAGTTTTCTCGTTTGAGTTAGTAGGTTCTCGATCAGTAGTTAAAATTAGAGTGGACGACGTGTGGTGATTATTTTTTTGTTTTGTTAGTGAGGCGTCGTTTTTGAGTTCGGGATGAGCTTGTGGCCTATCAGATATTTGGTCGATTTCCTGAAGGGTTAAAGTGGGTATCGCGACTTCAATTTCGCGGTCTAACGTATTTATTATTCTAATGTAGGCCTTATTGTTAGTACAGGAAACGAGGCAATCTCCTGCAAAAATGCCTTGAAGGATATGCAAGCGCGGGAGGTACCCAGTCTTAATTTCTGGGTTAGAGATTCGGATTACAAACCCCGTGTTAGTGCGCGGAGGAATAACTACCGTTTCGCGTTCCTTGAATGGGAAGGCGTGGTTGTGCCATACAAGGCTGTTTTGTGAGTAGTCGATGCATGCATCGTTTTCTCTGAAAAAGGAGGTACCCAGGATACCCTGTTGAGTGGTAGGGAAATCGTCGGGTACAATGTGGAAGGTGACTGGAGTTTGGAAGATATGAATGTTAACCGATCCCAGGGTGCCGATGGCATTTTCGGTGATGCCTGTTAATTGGAGGATCTCTTCTTTGTTTATAATTGTGTTTGCAGTTAAGCACCCCTTTTTTAAGATATTTGGTTGGGCTCCTGTGTCCAACATGAAAGCTGTAGGCCCTCGGAAGGAGGGGGATTCGAATTCGACAGTGGGTACGTCCTCGCTAACGGCGCGGAGGACGAAGATGGGTCTTGCTGTAGTTCCACCATGTGGATGGGACGTGATTCCGCCGGGCCTCGGTGCGTCCCGTTGCCCGAGGCCTCTAGTTGGTTTCCCGGAAGGCTTGCCCCCGTTGGCGATGCAAGGCCATTGTTATTGGGGTAGCGGCCGTTGCGGGAGTTGTTGTTATTAAAATTGTTTTGATATTGGCGCTTTCGGCATTCGTGAATTAAATGCCCGAACCGTTTGCAATAATTGCAAATTTTGCGCTCGGGGTTGTCTGTTTCGCTGGATGCAAAACCAGCGGTACTTAGAGGAGAGTTCGTGGGGGTATTTACGGCCGGAGGGACCTTAATAGTGGTGGAAGTTATGCGCGGAGCAGTCGTGCTCTTATTTCTAGCGTCTTCTCGTTCCAGCCGTTTGCTTATTATTATAACTTTTGAGCATGCATCGGCGAAATCGCGATATCCCTCGGCCCGGAGCTCTACACGGTAGTCGCGAGGGAGTCCTTCATAAAATGCTTCTAAAGTGAACGAGTCTATGGCAGAGATCTCGACTTCCGACAATGGGCGAGCAAGATTAATTTGGTCGCTATCGATTATGGCGGTTCGGAGGTCCTTAATGCGTCCTATATAGTCTAGGATATGCTCGGTAGGTTTTTTATAGATGTTACTTAGCTGACCTCTGTAGTAGTTAGCGCTTCTGCCTGACCCGAAGGTACGCTTCAAAGTATCGAGAAGCTTATCGACGGTAAAATGACTCTCGTCCTCCACAGCTAAATATGCGTGGTGTGTTAATTTATTCCGTAGTAGCCTGACGAGGTGGGCCTCGTCAATTAAAGGGACGGATTCCCTCGCTCTTTTACATGCTCGAGCGAACTGCCAGACAGGGATATTGTGCCCGTCGTATTTTGGCACTAGTTCGAGAGCGTCCCGGATATAGGAATTAGGATACGGGTGCATTACGGAAGAATGCATGCTTGAAGGTGGATGTACTGTCGCGTAAGGGTTCCTTGGGGGAACTTGGGAATGCGAGGATGTGGGGAAGAATCCTGGTTGTTGTTCACTAAGTGCAGGGGTAGGAATTTCTGGAAGTCGGAGTCCGGAAAGAGCGTTAGTGAGTATTGTCATCATGCCTTCGATATTCTCTGTTCGTTGCATTAATTCCTTCTCTCTCTTTTTCAGAACCTTCATCATACTTCTACATTCCAGCACCTCGTTTAATTCGGCTTCGTCGGAGGAATTTCCTGAGTTGGCCATGTTTATTATTTATGGAGTAATACTTTTTATTGTCTTAATGGTTATGTCTTGTGGCTCTAGTCTCAGTCTTCGTCGCTCACCAGTTGTGCGGCATGTAGGCCACACGAGAAGGCAGCCAGTCGTTTTGATATTATTAGGTCAGGTGGCCCTTGGTCTAAGTCTACCTGGATTAGCGTGCCTTTGGGTATGTCGTGTAGCGTGCTACCGTGGGCCGTTTCAACGAAATCCTTAAAGTCTGTTATGCTGACTGGGCAGAGTTCGCAGTCGGTAGCCCGTCGAAATATGAATAGCGGTTCCTGACAAGAGGTGCAGGATGTCCTGTTTATTAGAATTGCGTCGTCTAAAGTGCAGTAATGTTTAACGATGAATCGTAATGAGTCGTGATTTTGTAGTGTGTGCATTGACGCGCATTTTGTGCATAGGCGGATTGATCCTGTGTCGTCGGTATAACCGAATATAGTTAGACAGACTGCTCTGCTTATCCAGCCGAGCAACTCGACGGCTGGTGGCAGTTTTCGACCGTAGCGTTTCGAAATGCGGCACATAGGTTTTAGTTTATTTATTCGTTTATCTTTACCTAATAAGATATCCCACCGCTGTCACCAATTGTTACGTCCTGGATTTTTGGAAAGTGAGGACGCCGGGGTGGGGGTTTATCTTTTTGGAGATCTGGGAAAATAAAGGAAATAGGAGACACAATCAGAGGACCGGCTAGTTTAAAGTGGGCCCCTTATACTGGCCGGGAATATCATCACCTTGTGTCTTGAGGGTAGGTAATTGGTGGGAAAAGAGAGTGAGACAGTAGAACGTAATCTTTTTAAACCTTTTTTATTATGTATTTTACTACTTGTATGTCCCGTATGCGGGGCAGAGTTTCTGGTGCGGGGTCGTATGCCCGAGGAGGAGCCTGCCGGCCTACCCTTAAGGGGCGAGTCGGAACCCTAACAGGGGCGTATGCGTCGGCTCGCGGAGGCGAAGGGGGCCTGCGAGGGGGCGACGGGACTCGTGGAGGAGGAGAAGGTTTGCGCTTCTCTTCTGTGGGCGCAAAGGGCCCTGGAGAATATGGGGGATTCTCGGGGGAGTACGTATAATACCCCGGATGCCCGTCGAGGCAGGAAGGGTCGAATTCCCTTGATTGGAATAGTTCCTTCCTTAGTCGTCTTAGTGCCCGTTTGCGGCCCCCAGCCCTGGATCGCCGTGCCCTTTAATGATTGAAAGTTTTTTTTTGTGATTATGGGTGACGCCCTATATATATATATTTTCATACATTAAAGTCCCTTTTTCGGCCCTACCTGCGTCTGGGTTGCTCCATCGCGGTTCGATTGTACGCGGGGGTGGTACCGGTATATTAATCTGGCGCTCCCTGTCGCGCGAAAAACCGTTAGTTTAATATGTGTGACCGAAAAGATAATGTGATAAGAGCTAGATTTATATATATATGTGGCAGGAAAGGTAATAGAGGTGAGAAGAAACGTACGCCTGTGGCAAGCGCGATTCGAGGTATGTGGAAGGTGGGAATACACCTGGTAGAAGGACCACGCAACAAGAGTAAGATGGAACGTACGCCCTTGGTAGGCGCGATTTTGGAATTTTGTGGAAGGCGGAGAGTAAGATGGGGCATACGCCTTTGGTAGGCGCGATTTATGGGAGACAGAGAGTAAGACGGGGCATACGCCTTTGGTAGGCGCGATTCTGGAA